AACATGGGAAATGCAGAAATGACTGCAGTGCAGCAGTAATTATGGTGCGCTTTTTCGCTATTTAAGTTGGATATTTCTCTACATTCCTGAAACAATTTTTAGGTTTTTTTTGTACTAGACAATGCAGGCAGTGTTTTCACAAAAGTAACTGTACAGTGATTTGAAATACAATAAATGAAGGCAATGCATGGCCTTCCAATAAAAGATATTTGAAGACAAAACAAACAAACAAACAAAAAAAACAATTTAAATGACCACAGAATTATCTCATGTTTATATGTTCAAAACGTGTTATGTCTTGCCATTAGTCTTACAAAAGTTCTATTAAAAAAAAAAAAAAGATACTGGTTAAAGGTCTCTGATTGTAAAGCACCTATTTAGAACAAGCTTAGCAAAGCAAAGGGACCACGGTTCAATCCCCCAACACCACATGCCAGCCAGCCTCGCCCCCTGGTGGGCTGAGCTGGCCACACACACACACACACACACACACACACACACACACACAAATAAATAAATAAATAAAATCTAAAAAAAAAAAAGGTCTCTGATTGAAAATCTGAGCTCCAAGCTGTTGCTCACAAGGTTTTAGAGTTTGGAGCACTGTGGAATTGGAGTTTTGGATAAAGGATGCTCAAGCAGTAAAGCATATGCAAATCTTCCAAAACACAAAAAATTCCAAAAGGTGAAACACTTTTGGTCTCAAGCAGTTAGGATAAGGGAAACTCAATCTGTACTATCTATTGAGGTTTTTTTTTTTTTTTTTTTTAAAGTTTGCTTTTATATACAAGGGTAGTTTATGTACAGCAATATAACAAGGGTGCTGAGAAATTTTCCTTTTTTTTTAATGTATTTGGTACAGGACCTACAAGCTCTCACCATGTAGTGATCCTTCTGTTTTCAGCCTCCAAAGTGCTGGGTTTACAGGCATGCACTACCACACCCAGTCTCAATCTCAGTCTCAGCACACCGCGGGTGTGGGGCTGGCATAGCATGCTGGGGATCAAACCCTGGCCACTATGCTCTGCCTAAGCAGGTACTTTAGTCCACTGAGCTTTTTTTTTTGGTGGAACCAGGGATTGAACTCAGGACTTTGCGCTTGCCAGGGAAACACTTATCCTACTGAGCCATTTTCCTGGCCCTTGCTGAGCTATCTGGCTGGGCTTTCCTGCACTTTTTAACCTTCAAAAATGTGCACAACTATTCCTGTGAATTTTTTTTTAAATGTACCTAGTTCAGGGGAAACAGGGTCTACAGGCTCTCGCTATGTAGACAGGAGTTGCACTGATCTTCTTATTTTCAGCCTCCCAAGTACTGGGATTACAGGGTCATAACACCACCACGCCCAGTCTCACTCTCTGTCTCAGCGCACACCTAGGTGCAGGGCTGGCAGGCACCATTCAGGGTCTCACTCCTAGATCAGACTGAAGAATCCACCCGTTTAAAGCCTCCCAAGATCTTGGATTATAGGCACGTGCCACCATATCCAGTCTCAATTGCCATCTCAGCGAGCCCTGCGGGGTGGGACTGGCACAGCGAGCTATTGGGCCGGCCCTCTATTCCTGTGAATTTATTTTTACTGAATTTCATGTTTTTACTTACTCTATGGTAAGCAGTTATTTACAAGCAATATACTAAAATCACCTTACGCCTATCCAATTTAGGAATTATGTAATTTAAGATTTAAAGGAGAAGGGAAAATTTCTGAGATAAAAATTGTATCTTTCCAAATTCATATGTTAACACATTAACCCAAAGTTCTTTGGAAAGAAGCAATCAAGATAAATTTTATTTTATTTTATTTTATTTTTTGTTTTTCAAGATAAATTTTAAAATTCATACATTTTTTATACCTGAATTTCATTGTCCAACAAATACATGTTGCATACTTATCAAATACTACTGAATTAATAATTACAAAGGAAGAAGAAACTTTGGTGATCATTTAGCCCAATAGTTCTCAATCCTCAGTATTCTTCAGAATCATTTGTGGGGCTTAAGAAATACACAGATGCTTGGGTCACCCCATTCTCCTTGTTTAATATTGTAAAACTGTTTGAGGGTTGGGCCTAGAAACTGGCATTTAAAAAAAAAATTATTTTATTTATGTGTGTGTGTGTGTGTGTGTGTGTGTGTGTGTGTGTGGCCAGCTCAACCCACCAGGGGGCGGGGCTGGCATGTGGTGCTGGGGGATTGAACCATGGTCCCTGTGCTTTGCTAAGCTTGTTCTACGTAGGTGCTTTAGACCACTGAGCCATCTCACCAGCCCGAAACTGGCATTTTTTAATAGAGCTTCCCAGATAATTCAAATATGCAACCAAAGCTGAGAACCACTGAATTATCACCAATAAAAGCTCATTTTCTGACAAGGAAATAGCTCAGCAGTATAAGCACCTGCTTGGTAAGTGCAAGGTCCTGAATTCAATCCCCAGTACAAAAAAAAAAGTCCATTTTCCTAATTTTATAAAGGGAAAAATAAACTCTAGAGAAGTCAGGTTACTTGTGCTGTTAGGACTTGTAACTAGCAATCAAAACAGGAACTTTTTTGACTTTTAGTTCGATGGGTTTTGTCTCGGATTTTATGTATTCTTCCAAAAATCAAGGTATTTTATATAGATATTAATTAATTTTTTTTTTTTTTCAGAACCAGGGCTTGAACTCAGGCCCTTGAGCTTGCCAGGCAAGAGCTTATTCTACTGAGCCATTTCCCCGGCCCCTTAGATATTAATTTAAAGAAGTAAATTTAGATTAGTTCTGGATAGGACTCAGAAAACTGTGGCAAATCAATGGAGTATGTAGCTAGATACTATGCTATTGCCTAATGCAATTATAATAGTTACAGCAAATATGTCCTTGATTATTGATTAGAATATAGCTTTTGTTTTTCAAATAAAAATCTATGAAATAAATTATCACTAGCAAAAGTATCCCCCAAACAACCCAAATATGTGTGTGGCCAAAAGCTTACTCTGGATTTGAAATCATCTACGATCACTGGGCACAGACTGAACATCCATGTTTTGACACTATATTATCATACCTAGCTGGTCGTGAGGCATTCCTCTGAAGAGAATTCTGTATGTGGTGAGGAACAAAGCTCCTTCTGCTGGCAGGAGCTGAGGGCCTCCAAGAAGACCTCCCGTGGCTTCTTCTCTGCCATCAGGATCTAGCAGGACTCGAAGACCTTCACATACAATTTCTTCTCCTGGCAGCAGAGCAGGTCTTAGAATCTTGGGCTAAAAACAGAGAAAGTCTTAAATACAACTCTTGGAGGGATTCCAACACTTAACACAAAAGTTTATCTTTTCATTATAGACATAAAAACCGTAAGCTAGACTTCTCAGGTAGCCAAGTGACAAAACAAATTTGGGAAGAGGAAGAAATCAAGTTTCTGAATCCAAATTTGAAATGATTCTTTGTAATATCGCTTATTAACAGTAAAATTGTTTAAAAAAACAAACCAACAACACTAAAATCATTCGAAAGTACATAAATGTCTGAAATTTTCATTCAGTGCATTATTTTCCAACCTTTGCAAAAATGTCATAGATCTGTAGTACTAATATAAATAGAAGCCCAGAATATACTGCAAAGTTAAAAAGCAAATTACAAACTGGTTTGTACATTATGATTTCAGTTTTGGAAAAAGGAAAAAGAAATAAGAATATGACCAACTTGTTAAAGGGAGTGTTATGGGTAGGGAGGATTGACAGGGGAGCTTTTCATTTGCACAGTGTATATTTCCTTTATGCTTGAATTTTTTATTTTTTATTTTTCAACAAATAATACACTGCATATATTCTTCTTAGTGGTTAATTGCTATACAAGATGCGGACTTGTGATCCTATTTACAAACACCATTAGAACAAATCATTCTATTCATTAACAGAATGTAACTATATATCTATCCCAACCACTTTGAATACACAGATACAAAATGGACATTCATCTGTATACCCCCTTTTTCTAAGTTCCGTTATTGAATATTATAGGTGTGTAAACTCAGCAAAATATTCTAAAAGAGTCCAGTAGCCCATAATAGCATTGGGTCTTCTCTTTAACTGGCAATGTCAGAAATTATTGACCTGAGTCCCCCACAGCTCAACTTAACAGCATGGCTTTATTTCTTATAATTTCGTCTTCATACTTTTCTGCTGGATGGTTAAGACCAAGATAAAGCAGGACCTATGCAACAAGAGTTGTAGCTTTTTGGTCTGAGAAGGTCAGTGAAATGCCCTCAGGATTTATCCTGAGATACTGTACCTCAGATTGTAGAACCTTTATCAGTGCAGCCATGTGGATGAGTCACGGCCAATGCTTGGCCAATGTGCTCTCTGTGAAAGCCTGAGAGAGTGTCTTCTCCCCATGTGACTCTCCTTAGGCCCACTCTATGTCATCGATCACTTTCCTCTTTGGCCCCATAATCTTCTTGATCAGAAAATTTGGGACTACCGAGGTACATGACGTTACAGTACAAGTTCTCATATGTCCTGAGTCTTAATTGACCTTAGAAGGCTAGGGCCAAAATGTTGGCTTTCCTTGTAGCCCTCCTTTTTCTCTAATTTTGGTCTGCAAACTTAGGTTGTTAACCATCCAGAAGAAAAGCTTATTGTTATTATCAAACGATTTGGGCTATCAATCTTAACCTCACTATCTCACTGCATTTCAAACATCTTAGGCATAATAAGGAACAGGTATTTTTCATCAAGTATTGATATGTTGAACTTTAAGTCCCTACAGAATATGATAAAAAAACCATTTAAAAATTAGATTATATTTTAAAAAATAGGATAAAGAATTCTATGCTTCTCATGTTTGCACATAAGTCCAACAATCTCACCATACACAACCTTGATATGCTTGAATTTTGTACAAGCACATTATTACACTTGTAAAGTTAAAGAATACAATTTTCTTGAAGATCTAATACATTTTTTTAAAGAGAGTTCCCAGCTACTTGTGATGTATGGCCAGATTCAGGAATCTAGTGCTTGTATGGTATTTGTTTTATTTTTGTTTTGGAAGTAGGCAGGACATAAAATCTTGGGTTGGGCTTGAAATTACACTTATTCATAATTTATACCCTGCCTATAAAAGTAAACTCAACAAGAGGTTGTTATTGCTCTTTTGTTGAATCCAAGGAAGTATACTATACCCATTTCAGTTTTCTTTTTATAAGATTCTACAGAACAAACTCTCCTAAAGTTTTAAATATCATTAAAAATGCATTTGGTTAGGAGAAAGTACTTTCTGGAGTACAATAATCTACTGTTACTATTTCTGAAGAGAGATGTTATATCCTAAAAGCATGTAGTCTAAAATAATTACCTTCTGTATAGGTGGAAGTCTTCTACTCTCACGATGTACTGCCTCTAGGGTCTCAATGTGCATAGCTACAATTCCTAGGATGGGGCAGAGTATCCAAAACAAAAGAGTGTAAAACAAATTCCAGATATTTCAGAATTAAAAGCTAATTTAAATTTAGCAGTTTTAAAAAAATTTAAATATAGGGTTATCATATAACCTAGAAGTTTTAGTCCCACTTATTTACAACGAGGAATTGAAAACAAGTACTCAGATACTTATATGTGAATATTCATAGCAAAATTATTATTATTATTATTTTTTCATTTTAGGTATTTTGTACAGGGTCTCACTGCGCAGCTCAGATTCATCAGGGCTGGCATGGCATGCAGGACCGGAGAATGAACCCTGGTCCCTGCGCTTGCCAAAGCAGGCGCTTAGTCCACTGAGCTATCTTGCTGGGCCCCATAGTAAACATTATTAACAATACCCGAATGGTGAAAAAAAGTAAGTGTTCATAAACACATGAATGGATAAACAAATTAAGGTTTGATAAATGGTTGAATCTTAAAAAACATTTTAAATTAAATAAATCAGACACAAAAAATTGAAATACGGTATAATTCTACTTATATAAAATATCTACAATAGGCAAATTCATGGAGACAAAAAGTAGCTGGAATGTCCCCAGGGGCTTGGGAATGGGGAAACCAGAATTATTACTTAATGGGTACAGAATAACTATTTAAGGTAATGAAAAAGTTTTGGAAGTAGTGGAGATGCTTGCACAGCACTGTGAATATAATTAATGCCACTGAATCTCGTACACTTCAAAATGGTTAAAATGGCTGGGCGTGGTGGTGCATGCCTGTAATCCCAGCTGACTGGGAGACTAAGGCAGGAGGACTGTAAATTCAAGGCCAAATTAGTGAGATCCTATCTTAAAAACAAAAGAGAACACCAAAAAGGACTGGAATGGTAGCTCAGCTGTAGTATGCCCTGGGTTCAATCCCTAGATGGCTAATTTTATGTTATATATGTTATTTATATTACCATAATTTAAAATATTTAAAATAACAAAACATAAAATAACTAGTATGGCAAGCCACATAGTAGACAGGTATTAGAGTTCTTATGCTTGAAAACTAAGTTTTTGTTAATATTCTGATTCTCGAATATTTACAAAGTGATTACCTGGTATCATACAATGAAGGCTCTTGATGTGATCTTGAGTAACACCACTTTCTGTACAAACCTTGTCAATAAAGCGGGTAATGAACCGCACAACAGAATTAGCAATGTCATTGTTCTCGGAATCTTCAAACCCACTCTCTGTATCATAGCTCTCAGCTACACTTCCTGCAATACTAAGAAAGTGAAAGAAAGAAATCACAGTCACCATTCAAATGCAATAAATGATTACTGTATCACAACAGAGGTGAAACTTGCTCCAAACAGATGTACACTCAAGTAGCAGGGCACACTTAACTTCAAGACCCTCTATAAATCACAATGGTGAAACACGCTCTACTTGTCTATATTTGAGAGAATAGGTAGAACTTTTTTTTTTTTAATGAATTTTAGGACAGGGTCTACAGGGTGTACAGGGTCTCACTATGTAGATCAGACTCATAGTGATCCTCCTGTTTTCAGCCTCCCAAGTGCTGAGATTACAGGCGTGTGCCACCATGCCCAGTCTCAATTGCTGTCTCAGCACACCCTGGGGGCGGGGCAAGCTCGGCACACCGGGGATGGAACCCTGGCTGCTGTGCTCTGCCAAAGCAGGTGCTTTAGTCCACTGAGCTATCTGGCTGGCCCTGCAAGAACAGGCAGAACTCTTAAAGACAAAGGAGCAAGCAAAGACTTTATGAACAAAACCCTAACTTCACAGGAAATATATCAAAGAATCAACAACTGGGATCTCATCTCATTAAAAAGTCTTTGAACAGAAAAAGAAACCACTAACAGAGTACAGTGAAAACCCAGAGTGAAAAAAAAAATTTGTTAGCTGTTCCTCAGAGAAAGTACTAATATCTAGAATATACAAAGAACTGAAAACAATGAGAGCCCTCCCCTCCAATTTAAAGATGTTACCTGAAAATGGGCATCTGAAATGAATGCAGCTTTTTCAGATGAAGAAGTACAAATGACGAGTAATATATGAAAAAATGTTCAACATCACTCGAGAAATGACAATTAAAACAACACTGAGATTTCATCTCACTCTAGAAGGAAGGGCTATTATAAAAAAATAAACCAGTAACAAATGCGTGAGACAGTGAGGAAAAAGGAACCCTTCTCTACTGTTGTTAGGAGTGTAGGCTTGTGCAGCCACTGTGGAAATCAGTGTGGCAATTTCTAAAAATACTAAAACTCCAGCTTCTATCTGACCCAGCTAGGTCCCTTCTTAGTTTCTCTAAAGGATTAAAAGCATCACAGCAATGTATGCACACCCATTTTTACAGTGGCACAGTCTGCAACAGCTATAGCTTGGAAACAGCCCAAATGCCCATCAACCAATGAATGGAGAAAGAAGATGTCATTTTTTTTGTTTTAAATATAATGCAGTACTATGCTGTCATAAATAAGGATAAACTTGACACATTTCTAGGTAAATGGATGCTCTTAAGTGAAATAAATGGGACATGTGTAAGTATCACATACTTTCTTCACTATGAGGAAAAGAAAAGGCAAACAAGGAGCAAAATGTATAACAGATACTGTGAAATAGGAAAAACATGTTCCAATGGGAAGGAGAATGAGGGGTCAGGGAGAAAGGCAGGAAGGGAAAAGGGGAAAAAATAAGGGAAAAAATGGAAACAGTAGTTTTGCAAATAAGGAGGGAAAGTGGGATTAAAAGGAGGGGATACAAAGGGGAAGACCAAGATATGTCATCTATAGGTACAAATTCTACATGATGAATGTTATTGTTACGTATATCTACAATGTACCAATAAAAATAATTTAAAAAGCTGTTTTAAAATAAATTTAAGCGCCAAAAAACCCCCCAAAAATAAATTTAAGTAAAAATAAAAAGAAACCTCAATGAATTTAGAGAATTATTCTTACGACTATTTTAGAGAGTATTCCAGATTGAGGGAATAACAAGTTCAAAATCCCTGAGGCAGTACTACGCTTAGAGTGTTTAAGGGCTGGCATTAAGGCAGAACAGGATGGTTGATAGAAAATGATAGGAAACAAGGTCAGAGCCATGGCCAGGACACAGATCATGCTGGGCTTTGTAGGTCATGGTAAAGACTTTTAATTTCAGTGGTACAGGCAGTCAGGAGTAGGTAGAGCAGAAAGCATGATACAGGACCTGATTAGGTACATTCTAGGTTGGTCTTTTTTTTTTTTTGTACCAGGGATCAAACTCAGAACTTTGTGCTTGCAGGCAGGTGCTTATGCCACTGAGCTATCTCCCCAGTCCTAGAAATACCAAAAGTAAGCTGAGGAAAAGATGGAGTAAGAAACAATGGCAAATAGAGTTCACTATAAGTTTTTCAGAATGCTTTCTGTAAATTGGGGTAGCAGAATGTGATGCAAGGGCTGGAATGAGACTTTTGGAAAATTAGGCCATGAAAGAGAAAAGATGTGGGAAAAGGGTAAGAAGAGTGGGATAAAGTGAAAGTCTTTTAATACAGAAGAATTGTGAAAATGATGCATTTCTGAAATAAGTACAGAAATTTCTTCCCCCGAAATGCTTTGCATTCTCTGCTAAGCCAACACTCCGGCCCTGAGAACAGTGGGAAAAGGTTCTCCTGTGCCCACATTTCAGTACCTGTTTGTGACAATGCTGTTGCTTCCACTTTCCCAGTCACCTGGTGCTGATGCTCTCAGGAGCTTGTTTTTACTCGTGTCTAGCGGAACCAGTAAGTTGACCATAAGGTTTGCAAAGTGAATGGCCTGACTGAAGACAGTGCTTTCTTCCCGTTGCACCAATTCTTGCTGAGTTGATTTGCTCAGAGTGGGCCAAAGGCGAAGCTGTTCGGCTGCCAGGTCCATGGCTGTCTTCTGATACTGGTCATCAGAAAGCTTATCCTGAAAACAGCAAACACAAAACCAAAGGAGAGAACTCATCACTTCAAAATGTACCTATTTTTTAAAATTTTTATTTATTTATGTGTGTGTGTGTGTGTGTGTGTGTGTGTGTGTGTGTATAGCCAGCTCAGCCCACCAGGGGGCGGGGCTGGCTGGCATGTGGTGCTGGGGGATTGAACCGTGGTCCCTCTGCTTTGCTATAGCTTGTTCTAGGTAGGTGCCCTAGACCACTGAGCCATCTCACCAGCCCC